GTCTCTACGGTAGCATTTAGTCAAACATTCCTCCCGAGACATTCTTCTCTCAACGCGAGAGTATAAAATGCTTCTTTTGTGTTAGACTCTCCCGTAAACATCGATTGCCGATTTTCTTCGAAAATTCGAGCAAGAAACGTTCACGCGGATAACTCTACAATTTCTGTCGCGGGAAGGACCGTTGATTGATGATACTCTTCTCGTGGATAGAGAGACGGCAGAGTTCGGATAAGATGGCAATCAACGTCGATCAATGCATTCCGATCAATGTGCGGTATTTTTAAGAGATGCTTGCGTCAAAACTGAACATACATTGTACGTCATTCCGCGCAGAGACGAACCTCTGACTTCTTACCTGTTTCATTCCGTTTACCATTACAATTTGCCTATCGTTGAGGGAAAATATGGCCTCCCACCCCCTCTTTTTTCTTTCTTTTTCCTTTTTTTTTTTTACATGATGGGGTAAACCGCTGATCCGGAAAGGTTCTACCAACGTTCGCTAAAATAAACGAAAAAATGATAGGCACCACGGTTTCGACCCCGTAAGTTAGCCAAAGTATTATAATTTATTCCCATTGTATTGCGCAAGACCATTCACGTACACATCTTAAAGACTACTTTAGACTTATGGGATTATAAAATAAAAGTCTGAAAAATATGATTGTGATTTATAGTTTTTTCATTAAATCGTCCCAACCTTCCGCTCTCCACATTTCGATCTTTTCTAAAGTAACCTTAATTTTTCTATAGTAGATTGCTAATCTTTAGGAGGTGTAAACCTTTCTCGTATTCCTATAATTTTTCTCGTTTAGTGCACGCCGATCTTTTTACGAGTTTTTAGTTTTTCTATTACATCCGTAATGCAAATTGATATTTTACTCTTTCTTTCTTCCCTGAGCTCGGAAGATTGTAATTTTATTATCTACTTGGAGCTCTGCAAAGTTCTTTCGAAAGTTACTTGCACCTCGATATTTTTCCTAAGGAAAGATTTTCTTAAATTGGTGTCGACAAATTTATAATTGTATAAGAATTCTAGGCAAATCTATACAAATAGATATATAAAGCGAAAAATTGATTAAATAATAGAGATAAAAAAATGATAGAGAGAGAGAGAGAGAGAAAGAGAGAGAAGGGTAGTAGTAACATAACAGTAACAGAATAGATCTATAAAATAGATACATAAAATAATTGCAGTCGAAATCCAAATATTTCAATTTAAGAGATAATCTTATCTTACACAGTTTACTTGATAAAATTACCTAATTGTAAATTGGAATGATCGTTTAATACTTGGACGAAAATATGATCGGTTGATTTCGGAGCAATATTTGTAAATGATTCTCCATCCATCTCTTTCCCCTTCCTTCGTCTATCTCTTTTCTTCTCGCGGCATGTAAATTATACGTTCACACACACACACGACACGCACACACACACACACACACACTTGAGGTGGCTGATTTTGAACAAGATGAAAGACGTGAGTGCAGCATGTCAACATCTTTATGATAAGTACAGTTGCGTTGTCGTATCAATGGGAAAGTACGTATCAACAAGTCGATGATCATCGGCGTTTATCAGTGGTTAGTAGATGGATATGTGAACAAGACGAGAGAGTAAGTGAACGAGACGAGACTAAACGAAACGAGAGGAGACGCGACATCCTGTCAGATACTTGCGTGGTTTGAGAATTAAACGCTGGTTCGACTCGAGAGAGATGCCCGAGGAGAATATTAACGATCAGTATCCAACATGGGTAAGGAAAAGAGAGAGTTAATTTTGTTTTTTCCGCATATACTTATTTATATTGTCCATAATTGACATATAGTACCGAGTTTACTGACCCTAACCTCAACTTCTTTTTCAGTCAATATAAATATAGTAGTTAATAGTAGATTAGACTAGATTAAATAGTTGGCGGTTAAAGAGATCTCCGTCGTAGGTTGGACTCGTGTACATCTTCAATCTCATTGTTGGAACAGGCGCTTTGACTTTACCCGCTGTATTTAGTCGAGCAGGATGGGCACTTGGATTAAGTGTCATTTTAGTGTTGGCGTTCATCAGGTATATATGTAGAAAGAATTTTTTGCATTTAAACTTTTTCAAATCTAAACTTATTTCGTCTCATTAACTTTCTTCTTCCTTATAGTTTTATCACAGTTACATTTGTCATAGAAGCAATGGCATCTGCCAATGCTATTGTTATGTGGAGACATACGCAACATCGAAAACGTGTAAGTGTTTTCCAACTTGTTTAGCTTTCTATACAGGACAACTGAGTGTATTGCAGATATTTTAGAAAGCTGTGCAAGGTAACATTATGGCAAGAGATAGATTGGCATATTTGATGTGTTAGCAGCGGTACATATATATATATATATATATCATTTTGTTATTTGCGCATATACGTGTTGTAACATTGAAAACTGAAATACTTTTCAGGTTTTACAAACGATAAGCGAACCTGGTCTTTCCAATTCAGATTCGGAAGACACTCCATTGGTAGCTCCTCCTTCAACCAGTCCAGATTGTTTGGATACGACTTGTAGATATTATGTAATTTGCGATAAAATAGAAATGGGACAGATGGCATCCATCTTTTTTAACAGATTTGGCACTACTCTATTTTATTTATGTTTCGCTATATATCTATATGGAGATTTAAGCATTTATGGTGCAGCAATCGCAAAGTCACTAGCAGATGTCGCCTGTACTTATTTGCCAAAAAATCTTACCTGCAATGATACTGTACCAGATACTGAACTTTGCTGGGAAGGTTCTATGTTTACTCGACTGGATGTGTATAGAATATTTCTGGTATGTCATCGATTTGCAAAATTACACACATTTTGGTTCTTTTGATTTTGCTGAGATCAAGGATCCTGCATTTCTTTTTCACATTTTTTGTAAGCATATCAGTTCATCCTTATTGTCATCAAATATTAAACAAAGATAAATGCTGACAAGCGCCGTAAATGCAAAACGGTATGATAATGATTGTTGTGCTATTTTTATTTATTTTCAGACCATGTTTGTATTATTATTGGGTCCCTTTGTATTTTTCAACGTTCAAAAGACCAAGTATCTTCAACTACTGACTTCGGTAATGCGATGGCTCGCATTCACTATAATGATCGTATATGCTATAAAAAATCTTTTTGTATACGGCCCTCGTGGCGATCCACCTATCGCAAATTTAGCCGGTAAGCTGTGAATTTATATGATTACTAACAGATTAGTGTCATTAGATATACAGAATAATTGTGAATAAGTATCAACGATATTAACAATACTGTTAATTATCATTTTTCAGGAATTCCAAGTCTTTTCGGTGCTTGCGTTTACTCCTTCATGTGTCATCATTCGTTACCGGCCTTGGTTACACCAATAGCGAACAAGTCTAAACTAAGTCAATTCCTAGCTCTCGATTACACCCTAATCGCTTTCTTTTATTTACTATTAGCTTTAACTGGTATCTTTGCCTTTCATCGTTTAGACGATCTTTATACTTTGGATTTTGGACCACGTGGCTTAGGCAATTGTTCCAAGAGTGACAATATTTTTATGCTCCTTATGGAGTATTTTTTAGCCCTTTTCCCAGTATTTACTTTGAGTACCAGTTTCCCCATTATAGCAATTACACTCCGAAATAATTTGCAGACACTTTTTTTAAAAGAAGATACATCTTACAATTTATGTCTTCGGAAACTCGTCTTCCCCGTCTTGGCGATAATACCACCGTACTTGATCGCGATTATTACCAAAGATCTGTCAATATTAGTTGGTATCACAGGCTCGTACGCTGGAGCAGGAATACAGTATTTAATACCTACATTTTTAGTTTATTACGCCAGGCAAAAGACTAACAAGATTATCGGCCTTGGGGTCATGAACAAATTCGCAAGTCCTTTCTCAGGCAAGTATTGGTTAGTTTTCGTCGTAGTATGGGCTATTACTTGTATGATTTTAGTATCGGTTAATTTCATACAAATACATTTGCCAAAATCTTAGATCAGTCAATAACAAAATCAATATCATTTATATCAAAAGAGAAAAGAACTTTATGTTTGTGCTAAAAGCTCCATCATAGAGACGAATGCAGGATATTTACGAGAAACTTGATGGATATCTATTAATACGTTTCAAAACTTATCACAGCAAAAATGTAGATATCATAGATTATGTTTATACGTCACTCTTAATCAGGTTTAATAATATCCGTTGTTATGAAATTGTAATCATTTCTCTGAAGAATGGAATGATTGGGATTGGCCAATGTCATAACTATATATCAATTAATATAATCGATGTTATTAAATTCGATTATAAGGATGTCGTATAAATGTAGTCATAGAATTATCCAGAGCCAACAGTCAGTCAATATTGGTATCAACTAAAGTAACTAAAATAACTCCAAAGTGATAGGCACGAGATAAGAGCGACGATACAGTAAGATCTGAAACGTGACTAATCTCTGAAATCCTTCAACAAATAATAAGCTTTTTACAATAAGCCATTATCTAAACTTCAAGTCTTAAGTCGTAAGAAATTGACCAATCAGGCGATTATTTTTTAAAGCTTAGATAATGGTTTATTGTAGAAAACCCATAAGGCGATCATTATTTATGGCAGGATACGTACATATGTACATACAGTAAACCAGACAATACTTCGATACACACAAGATATCCGATACGGTGTGTACAAGTCAAATATCGGATAGGTTCAACGAGTTCAACGTAGGAGATATTTAGAAATGTAGAAATCTGTAGAAGAAAAGGTTTATAACATATATTTTACTTTTTTGTTCCGGGTCAGACGTGCATGATTTTTCTTTATTATATAGATATTCTAATGAATTTCCGTCATTGTATTTATATTTTTTTATACGCTAAAATAATTCATGTTTGTGTATTTTTAATAAAATAATATTAGCGTATGTGATAGTAGAGGCAATAGCAAAAGTATGATATTACGATGATGTTCTTTTTGAGATTGTATTTTTGTACGAAATACGTATGTGAAACTGCCAAAAAGGTATTTGCAGTACGTCCGTCACATTTGTAGGTCTGCTGTTTCTTATTGCTGCATTGTGTGTACTAGTTTAGAAAGTGCATCAATAAAAAACAGATCTTGTATGTATATACAGATACACAGGATACGAATGTAGCATATAATAAAGAATATTGTAAACTATGTGCATATGCGCGAGCATGTGTGCCGTGCGCGCATACAAATAAGCGCGCGCAAAAAGCAACTGAAATGGATAATAATAAATAGTTGATCGTATGTACAAGTTCCTCTATCAATTTATTCGCACCAGCACACGCGTGCGCGCAAACATACACATTTCTACATCCTTGTATTTACTTTAAACTGAGAGATCTGCATGAAACAGATCTATATTTCTTAACAGATATATATTTCTCTTTAAGATTTCAACGATACCAGACAGTACGATAAAAGCGCGATAATATTTTTGATAAAATTTTATGTCCTTGATCAAGTGAATTAGCGTGGAATGTCTTTGTTATTTAAGCACAGTATCTGTGAAATCTTGATTATTATAAAGCAACTTTATTATTTTTACGCATATCTCGCATATCGTGACAATAGACTATATATAATAATAATTGTAATAAACAAAGGACGAATTAGTATTCTATTCAAAGAGATTAGTGAATTACTCGGAAATTAACTTATCACAATAATTTTGTATTTGTTTTCGAATAAATTCCGAGAGGTAACAATGGTATAGGTGCAACCTGTGCGCTTAGCAAAAGATTACATTTCATCAATTTTCAATAAGCGAAAATTTGTCACGTTGCATCTCAAGCTGTGAAAGGAAAAGTAAAAAAAAAAAATACGCTGTTTTTTTACGTACGTAAAATTACACATACGTGTACGAGAATCATATACGGTGTCATATGTATACGAACGCAAGTGAACACTTTGGAGTGAACATATATGCTATTAGGTAATGTATACCCTGCACAATTCGAGTACATATTTACAATAAATAGCACTTTCGTGTACATGTATGTAGACTATTTGATTTATCCTTTTGGTTTCCAACGGACGAGCTTCTTACTAGATTAAATTAAATTGAGATATTTGAGTGAGATATTAGATGATGGATATCTCCAAGCTGCGTACATTTGGAAATTAATTTGTACTAGTTATCCTTTCTTTCCATTCGTCAGTCTTGAATATTACGAATACTGCACATACTTATCTATTGATATACAATGTTGTCAAAGTCTTGTAAACTTATTTTTTACCTGATAGTCAACTTGATTTGAAATTGTTGTATTTTGAGATATGTGTCTTTGTGTTTTGGCATTGATTTAAATCGAGATATCAACATGTGTGTGCGTGTTACATATAACGTAGTAATTAATATTATTGAGTAATTAATATATTGAGGCTACACATTCTTATTCTTTTTTTCTTGGTTACTTAAAAAAAAAATTCGAATAGCTTGAACAAAGACAAAAATATATATCACATATCGTCGCGTGTGACAACAGAATTTATATGCGCATGTGTAGATCCAGAGAGCATAATGGCTAGATTCGTTATATTTTATAAATATTAATGTTTACAAGAGACTCTTTATAGACTAACTACTAATCAAAGTTTGTTATAAAGAAAAATCCGTGCAGAGGACAAGGACTTTAATAATATATATCTATTAATTCGACGAAACGAGTTAATCTGTACGTCAAGTAATACTGATGAGCTCTCTTCTTCTTCTTCTTCTTCTTCTTCTTCTTTTATAAATTAGACAATTATTCGTAATTATTTAAATAGGGACAGTGCGTATCCTCGTGACCTACACACTCTATTACCGGATCATGCGCGCTGTCCCACATTCCTGGACCACATTGTCGACATAGTCCGGCTAATGTGCAAGGTAATCGCACGAGTTGACGGAAATGATGAAGCAAGCCTCGTGCCTTTCTAAGTATAATGTTCCCATCCATGTACATGGCCAATGAACTGAAATGCAGCAACATTTCGTCCGTTCGAAGATCTTGGGCGATCACGTCGTCCGCATAAACGCACATTATAGCGAGGCAAAGAAATAAGTGGAAATGATCTGTTAAATAATTGACCCAGCAGGCTTCCCACATGACCAACGCAATCTCGGTTGGGAATTCTCTCTTTAAGCATCTGCAGCGGGAAAAAAGTGAAATAAAGATAAAATTATGCGCGAGCTGTATGTAAAATCCAAAAATTATGTAAAATCTACTATAATACTATAGTATAGCGTAATTTTCACTATTAAATGAGATATATGTATACGTGTGGGACATAGTTGTACGTACAAGAGTATCCATCGATGACAAAAAAGAAGCTCCAAGGCATCCGCGTGTTTTTGAAGATGCGTGTAAAAATCTGGTACCATGATTCTTACTAATTCTCGAAGATAGCACAGATTTCTATCCATATCTGTATCCGTCGGAGTGCACACGGCTACCGATCTTTGCATCAAACCCGCGAAACACCAGAAGGCCTCGATTTCAGAGTTGAGTTCGGCTAGTAATGGAGCCAAGAGGTCGGACATTCCTTGAGTGTAACCCAAGCGGCAATTGTATACCGCGTAATTGAGTAAAATATTCCTGCGAGAGAAAACGGGAGAAAAAAGAAATAATAACAAGCCACGCAAATAATATGATATGTATAGCAAATTGGGGATGAGGGAGAGAGGAGATTCTTGGAAGCATTAGAGTAACTTGTCTGGATACTCACTTCATTATTTCGACATTGGGATTACCCTCACCGGCGTAATATGGATTAGCCCTATCCGTGCGAACAACATCTTTCTCCACTATGCACACTACGTTTCGCCAGAAACGCTCGGCTTGCTCTGGATTCATGTTCAGTCTGCGTTTCTGTATTTCTTCATACTCTTGCTGTCTAATGGCGTCGATCTGCTCTCTATCCTCGTACGTACTTTGATAAGAGTAACAGTGCAACAGGAAAGGCCAAACGATCTTTCGTAACGCTGGTTCCAAACCTCCAAAAAATATTCCCTTACGAAGAGCGAGGTCGTCCTCCATCTGGCCCCGTTCGTTCAATAAATCTTTCCAAGCTAGCGACGTGATCATCGGTACTTGACCCTCCTCGGGATGCAGCTCGTCTCGGCTTACTTCCGGCCGACATACCATAAAATGCCTGCGTAACGCGTTACAGTATCAATAGTCGTATCAATAGTCGTATCAATGAATATATCATAAATCGACAGAGTTATTCGAGAGAGAAATTTGCAATTTTTATTAACATTACATTCTAATAATGCCTGACCTGTACGGCAAAGTCTCTTCCGTGTCGGTGTTTAAACGCGGATAAAGCAGTTGATGCCACTGATGTAGAATCGCGGCTAGCCGGTCCAAGCCACCGTGATGGAAATGCAAGATCTTGTATTGACTCTCCCTGCTCGCGACGACCAACTGACCGCAGGTGCAAGCAGGATCGGCGAAAAACAGCCGCAAGGATCGCATCTCGCTGAGATCTACCGAGAACCTTCTGCATCGATGTGCTCTACGCAACGTCACAGGCGATGCGGTCGCGCTCTCCGGAAAGACAAGATTGTGTTGTAACGCTAGGAGTTCCGGAGACCTCATCCACGACGGCATTTCTTCCGCTGCAGAAAAACAAGGTAATCGCTAGTATCGTTAATCGTACGAGAAGAATTATTTATTGGCATTTTTTCTATCCTACCATCGGTGGATATCGAGATGGACCAACTGCACGTCGACGTTAACGACAAGCTGCGACTCTTTACGCTGACATCGTCGCGGTACGAGAAGCGTGGCTCCTCGTCGATCTCGTTAAAACAGTCCCGCTCTTTCAGCAGTCGATCTCCAGCATCGCTCTTTTCGTTGCTCGAGTCCGCTCGATTCGGACGATTCTCGATCTCGGTCTCGGTCTCGGTCTCGATAGCGGTGGCGGCATTTTCGTCGTTGCGATCGAGAGTGATGTCTGGGTTTCGGTGAGGTGAAAAGGCGTAACTGGAACGACAGATGGAACTGGAACAAACGCGTTCGCAGTCTCCGCAATCGACGGGCTCCTTTGCCTCCAAGCACACATCTAGTTTCCCATTTCCGTTATCGTTCTCGGTACCATTTTCATTTTCATGTTCATGTTCATGTTCATGTTCATTTTCATTTTCGTTCTCCAGCTCGCGTCTCACATCCGAAACGTTGAGGGAATTCCCCGGGCCGGGGGTCGGGATACGGGAACTCGGGCAGGTTGCGGCCGCGTTCCTGCTACTCAGGTTCTCCAACGCCGTAGGATGTTTGCGCAACGTGCTGTTGGGTATCCAACTTAGGTGCAAGGTCGGTATTGGCAAATTGTTGGAATTGTTGTTCAGCTTGCAAGTTATAGTCATGTAACCAGGATGATGCACCACGTCGGCGTGCTGTCTCATCAACGTGGGAGGGTGCACGCAGACGTTATTTTTGCAGAATAATGCCTCGCCGTCTTGATAAACGACGCGCCGGTTGTCCTGGCCGCACTCACCAAGGATGTAGTTGCTCGCTTTTCTCCAAATATTTGGAAGAGGCATTGTCGATCGAGCTGTTACTTGATCCAGGGTCAGTTTCTTTTCGCTGTTAGTTTCTTTTTTTTCGCTGTAAAAAGACATTGATAAGTAGTCGCATGAAAGTCTTAATTAATAGTTTGTTATAGCTACGCTTACTTGTGAGATGAACGGCGGCGACGGCGGCGACGACGACGACGACGACGACGACGACTCTTTTGCCTTAAGAAATAAGAGTTGAACAAAATTCTGAAATGACGAGCGACATTGTTGTTGCAAACGGAGCCAGTCGGAAGAGGACTTGGGACGGAGGGTGAACATAATCACGATTATGTAATAGTAATTAAAAGCACCGGATGGATTGGATTCGCCTAGAGGTAGATGATCGTCCACGACGACTTGTCTTTCTGCGCAGCGTACGTGAATATATGCGCGCTTACGCACGCGAGCGCGTTATCATTATCACTTATTGTTAGCCTCGTTACATACCATTACATACGGAGCACACTCGGAGCATACAATACGCAATAATACGTATCCGCGTCGTAATCGTAACATCCCGCGTTGTCGCCGCCTTCCGAATCGCACCGTTTCCACGATAACGAATCCCGAGACAACAACTCTGTCATTCTTCGCTCTTCCTCGCAGAGTGAAAGATGGATAAGTATTCTGGAAAAAACTCAAGAAATCTCGACTGCGTTACGAGTCACTCTTGAAACGCTGTACTCGGAATGTACTCTTAATTGGGATGGAAAAAATAAAATCGACGAGATCATCTGCACGGCAGTTGAGCAGTCAGCGATTTCTAAATCGCTGAAAGGTTCAGGCTGGCATTCTTAATTTCTTACTACTTGTAGTACTGGTGGTTTCATACGCGACCGCCGCGCCGCGCCGCGCCGTCGTCGTTGCCGCTACAACGCGCAAGCACGCGCAACTGCGAATTTGTCGAGTTTGTCATAAAATCCGCTTCAATTCGCCAGAGTCTACGTTCTAAAGACGCTGCGCTATCTATCGTAAGAGTGTATCTGCAAAAGTATTTCATTCTCCAAAAATGAACGTGCGACGACAGGAACGAAGAGCGTAGCTCAACGACGCATTTATATTTTTTTTTTACCACTAGGAACATGTGGATATACTATCCCTCTTTTCTACCTGCTTCTATCCTAGATCAATATTTCCATTTCATCACGGAACCTACCAAGCCTATCCTACTATCCGACTCACTGACATTTCGCTACATTTGCCATGGGCTGTGCCTGGCCGTAGACCGTTTTTATCGATTATTCGCCGTTTTCGCGCGCTTCGCTTTCACTTTCAATCGATCGTCCAATTTCTCTCCCGTACGCACAATTTCTTTCTCTCTTTTTCTTACTCGACGCTAAAGTCACATCGATTATGTTGTGAAATTGCAACAACGGATCTCAATCATTTCACACTTAATTCAGAATGTTGCAATTAAGTGCGAGCTTTAGTCGTTTTAACGTATTTGTAATCATAGTAGATTTTCAAATAATGTAAGTGCATGATGTTTAATTTTGTGAGAGAGAAAGAGAGAGAGAGAGAGAATCCTTTAACAATATACATTATATCGAAATTAAACATTTGTTATGAATCGCTGTACTATCGATTGCAACAATAGTTTAGTGAAACTCATAGTTAAAGAGTATCTTGTGATCGTTGTCACCTGACACCAGTCCTGACTTTGGTCCACGTTTAAGATACGATATTGTAGAATATGCTGAAAAGTGAAAGTCCTCTTGTAGATAACCGTTTATCAGCAAATACCCTACGATAGCCTCTGCGGTTTCTCTCGTAAAATTTGGCACAGGTACGTTAGAAACTCGCAATGACGAGGCACCTTTACCATACCAAGCATCTACCAGTTTCAGTGCGGTCAATCGTGTTTCACTTTGCACAGCTTTAGTCATAATCTGATACAATTGTCTACAATAATATGCTACGTCGATCTGCTTTCTAACGCTTACAGATTTCCTACAATGATCACACATCTCTGCGCAGTCGTTTTCTTTCCAATTTTCTTCAAAGTGAGTCGCTATTAAACTCCGTCTACAGGAAGTTTCATCTAAGCAGTAAGCCAATACTTTATACAAATTTTGCAATCCGACTTTATCTTGAAACACCATGGTACTTAATTTAAATATATCCGCTAATCTATAGAGCACAAGACACACCGACTTTTTGCCATCTCTACCCGCTCGACCACTCTCCTGATAAAAATTTTCCATCGATTTGGAAACGCAATGATGAATCACGAATCGCACGTCCGGCTTGTCAATACCCAATCCAAAAGCGATAGTTGCCACCACCACTTGATACTTGCCTGACATCCACTTGGAGTAAACTTCTGATCGGTAATTGGCTTCGAGCATTGCGTGATAGCATCCAGCCTTGATACCTCTGCCTCTCAAATCAGTTGTCAATTGTTCCGCGTCTTTAATCGTAGTCGTGTAAATTATACCCGACTTGCCGTTAAATCGATTCTTCAGCAGATTTTCTATCATCGCGAGACATGTCTCCTTATCGGCCGGTTTGCGACGAACTTCATAATATAAATTGGGTCTATTGAATGAAGCTCGTAAAATTAGGCAACCACTAATGTCTAGCATTTTCTGCACGTCTACGATGATTTTAGTCGGGGCCGTTGCAGTGAGACCTAGAATCGGTACTCCAGGGAACATAGATTTCAATACTCCCAAGAACTTGTAATCTGGTCTGAAATCGTGTCCCCATTGACTACAGCAATGCACCTCGTCGATCGCAAACCGTTCTAGATGACCCAACTCGTACGCTTTTTGCAGTTTATTCATGAAGCGATTGGACTTTGCCATGTATTCAGGTGTTATATAAATCAGTTTGAGAGGACAACTTTTATCCACGAGGGCCGTCATAGTCATTTTGATGCTCTCCTTATCAGCCTTCGCACACAGCATAGTAGCCTTTATATCGAGTTTACGCAATCCGTGCAACTGATCTTCCATCAAGGATACTAATGGTGAAATTACCACCGTTATACCTTTACTCATCACAGCCGGTAATTGATAACATAAACTTTTGCCACCACCCGTAGGCATGATCAATATCACATCTTCCTTGGACATGATCGCATTCATAGTCGGTAACTGTAACTCTCGTAGCTTTTCTATCTTGAATACGTTCTTTAACGTCTCTGTGAGTTTTACAGACCAAATGAAATCCGCATTGTTCCAATTCTTCTTGGACAGAGAAAAACTTTTCTTTAAAAGAGCATCGTCGCGCAATTTCTCTTTCCGTTGTGTCAATAATCTCCTACGATCCTGCAATTTCTGTAGGTCATTCTCTATCTGTTGTAGCTCATAATCAATGGCAGCTATCTCGTTGTTCTCCGTAGCTAAAATTTTCGAGGACAAGTTTCTTAGTATGTAATCCTAATCTCACAAGGAATTAAGCTAATAATAGAGTTTTTGCAATACCGTTTATCTAGATACGGTGAGGCACTAAGGTCAAGTTTATCTTCTTCTCAACAACTACTTTAATGAAGAAAAGGATAACGTGAGACTTTAGCGTTCACTGTGTCTGCATATTCACGTTATTGCAAAAAATCCATGATATCTCAAACGATTTGATTATATCATAAACTGCTAGGAAGCAGTGTATTCTGTCGATACAAATCTCGAGATTGAAATTAATTAATAACGCTTCTCTATTCGTTATGTTGACGTGTTTAATGACGTGCAAAAGTAAAGAACGTACAATGAATTTTGGGAATGTTACAGCAAAAAAATGTTTCATTTTACACACTTAACCAACCTTGACACTCGTCATCTATCATAATTACGTCTCTAGCGTTGCTAATAGACATCCTAATCGACTATATCCTTCACGTTGAAATCCAAAGTGAAATTTAATAAATCACAAAGATACAGCTGTTTGTTTTTTATCAACATTGAACTGTTATTAACCCTAATAACCTACAACATCTTGCCACATTTTTATATATCAAAAAAGGTGCATTCAGATTCAGGATTGCCAACTTTTTAGGAGGTTTTTTCACGAGGTAAGAAGACTCAACTGAAAAAAGGTGAAACCATAGAATGATTTCTTCAAGAAGGGTCACTTTTCATGCGACGCTGAAACGCTTGTTTTCTAACGTCAAAAGGATCACGTAACCACAATTATTGCCAGCGATGACAACTAAAATCAATGAAAAGGGTTTACAGCGTTGAATTTTGAGCGACAACTTAACCTATTTTGAAACGATAGTACAATATATAAGTAGAGTCCCATTTTATAAGAGATGCGCAAATGGGATTCGCTTGCTGAAAATCGAGAATATCGGATCCGCAGCTGATTGATTATCAATACAAAGCAGCTGGGCCTCTATTCTGCACTAAAGATTCTGTATAAAGCCAAAACACAATGTGAAAGAATAGCGATAGCGGTAGGAATAACCTATAAATAGATTTCAACCTATCAGAAAGGATATATTCCAGTGTATCTGATTTCTGATAGGTTGAAATCATGTTATTCCTATTACTATCGCTATTCCTTCACATTGTGTTTAAGGCTTAAGATTCTAGAGGTTAGATTAGGTTAGGTTAGGTTAAGTTGAGGTATTCTAATACTACATTAAGAAACATTTTTATTTTTCAACATTATAAATAATATTAAATAACAGATTGCAAAACTTGCGAAATAACAATTGAGAAATGCAGACTAAATCGGTATGTGACATCAATATTTTAAAAACATCTAAGTAAGTAAAATTATCATCATATGACATATTTTGTTGATCATTATCTTACAGGAGCCAACTTTTTTAATAAAATTGTTTATAATGTTGGAAAATAAGAATGTTTCTTAATGTAATATTGGAGTATCTTCAATATCTAACTTCTAGAATCTTACACAGGATCTTTAGTATAGCTATTTTGTATTGATAATTGATCAGCTGCGGGACCGACATTCCTGGTTTTGATTGGTGACCGCTCAGCCAATCAGCGAGCGAATCCCATTTGAGCATCTCTTATAATATAGGATTCTAATATTGGGTCATCTAAAAAGTATCCGCGGTTTTTTTGTCACTAGATGTGTGTTGATGGTCATATATCTAGTGACAAAATACCGCGGATACTTTTTAGATGACCCAATATAAGATGCGTTCGACAATGTAAATTTGAAATGCAAGCTAGCAGATGGCGAGCTTGATCACGTGATCTTCGAGCAATCTGAATGCCAAGATTAATTCAGAGCTGTAAACTGTCCTTTAAGGACAATTAGATTATAAAATCAAATTGTTTATTTTTATGAATAAATAAAAAATACCTTATTAATTGAAAGTTTCTTTTGCTTTACTAGAAACTGATAATAATCTTATATACTAAAAATAGATCATTACACAAGAATATAACAGACTCATACGATAGGTGTTTTCTTAAAAGAAAATATTACATTGCAAAATAAATTTCTGCATTATAAGTTATATCACTTGATTTATATTCGTTAGTATCTTTAATACAATATATTATAAAGAGAAAAAAAATTAAAAACTTTATTAACTATTGTATACAATACTCCATCAATTTCTATTTGATAGCATTATCATAAATATACAGGTTATGAATTTAATTTAGGCGCGAAAATCTGCATTAGCTCGGTCTTTGAATCCGAAGTGGATCGAGCAGCTCGATTGGCTCTAGAAATGTTAATATCGATCGCAGATGAGATGACATGTAGCATGCGAGTTGCCGAACGATTTAGAGGTAAAAGAGCAAACAGACGATTTGCATTGCCGAACGCACCTAATAACAGTTAGAAACCCTCAAGTTAGCGTCTGAACACAAGAATTGTCGTAACACTTATTTAGACTTAAATTGTGAGACGTAAGTAACGCACAAGCTTTCACGTATGATGTACAACTTTACCGTGTTTCCAAGCAATGATATGAATTTCGGGCCGCTTGCAGCACTGTTATTAGCATGAAGAAAACATAGACGGACACACACACATACACACATGCGCGAGTATACACGGATGTGGACTTATTGTAGTGTATGTATCTTCTTATGCCCCCTTCATGCTAGTAACTGTGATGAAAGTGGCCCGGAATTCGCATCACTGACTGGAACAGCAGAACGTCGGCCGAAATGGTGGAATTAGATAGTCGGAATTTAGGAAACGGAATATCAGAAAAGTAATATGACCAGTCAGAATCATTTAAGTTTACCGCATTCGTGTAACGCGTTAATCTGATTGTTCGTTTTTATTTTTTCAAGATTCCTTTTTCCGAAATACCGACTGTCACGGGAAAGCAGTCAGCATTCTCATCGTTCACGTACTATCAGCTTTAAGATATATTTTCACGTTTTCATGAGCCATATCTACGAGACTATCTATATTACATTTATTGTTCTGGGATTCAAAATCAGCTGGTTATTCCAAAATTGTCCAAAATAATCCAAAGAAAATAAGTTACATAATTTCAACTCGACAAATATCAACTACGTTCTCACAGTGTATTTGTGATCATAAATATTTTTTTATAATAATGTACCGTTTTCTACTGTATCATAATTTTAATTTAGGGCCAGTGATTTCTTTGGGCATATATTTAATCTTAGGGTGATAAAAATTAATCTTTACTATATAACTGAAAACATGTAATTAGAGAAATCATTGCGTTTAGCAGAACGTTTATTTTGTAACTGTTGGAAATTTTCTTCGCGCTGATTGGATTATATTTTTAGATCTAGAGGAATGATCCTATCTCACCAGAGAATCATAAAACGGTTGCAAAACTGTTGTGTTCTGCTGAACGCAGCCAAAGTTTCAAAAATTGTTACTATGAAAACCGTACAATCAGAAACGAAATGTATTATTGAACGGCGTTATGTTATAAAAAATATTACACGAGAGAATGTTGTTAGAATTTTTGTATTGATATACAACGTAAAATTAAAATATTTAGGATGATTATTACTGATTAGTAAATAACAAAGAAATTAATAACCAGTTAGTAATTATTTTTAAAATACATTTACATTATAATGAGAAAAATATTTCTTATTTATTTTCTACAGATGCTCAGTAAACGAGAATGGATTAAAATGGATTGAAATTTTTTTTATCCGAATGCGTATTTTAAATAGCGAATACTTTTTTTTGGATTTAATTGGATTCAAATGGATTCACGCGCGCGCGCGCTTGCATCTCACTCGCATTCGCGGTGCACTGTTATACAGGGTGTCATGAATATACGACCCCACTCGTTCCGAGCAGGTAGAGTGGACTAAACTGAGTAGAAAAGTCCTCTACCATTTTGTAATGGTAAATCACAATAATTAACGAGATATTAACATTTAAAGATAGCCGAATGTGCACGTCCTCTCGACCTATTATTGCCGAAAGTACAGCCCACCGAGCGCGCGGGCCGCGAGGAGCGGGGCTTACCGTCGCGAGCATCTAAGCTCAAAGGGTGCGCCTGCTAGGCCATTCCTGTTTCTCGCGACCCGCGCGCCGTGCGCTCGGTGGGCCGTATCTTTGATAATAGTAAGTCGAGCGGACGTGCATATTCGGTTACCTTTAAACGTTAATATCTCGTTAATTATTGCGAGCATTACAAAATGATAGAGGATTTTTCTACTCAATTTAGTCCACTCTACCTACTCGGGACGAGTGGGGCCGTATATTCATGACACCCGTATATATTAAAATATATTTTCTTATACGCGAATTTTAATATTGTATTATATTAAAGATGTGATAAAAATGATAACTGTAATTAACAAATAATGTCCTGCCAAATAATCACTATTATAATAAGCAGTCTAGAAGATTTGGAATTCACATCTTCCTATAAACAAACTATTGGAATTTTATGGATAGTTTAACTTTTCTTTGCGGACAGATCTTATGAATTTTCACGTGGCATCAGTATTAAGTTCGCTTTCCATTATAAAGATTATTCTTCTTTGTATTGGATGCTAACCAGCGTATTACAAGGTAAAGGTAAATTAGTTAAATTTTATTATATATTATAAATTTTAATGAATTTTATAATTGCAAGTTATTAATTAAAAGTAAATACAATTTATTTATTGTTAATATTTCATTCCGTTTATCGATATTACAGTAATGATTGGTTTGATACAATTTGTTTTACCATATATATATATACAATATTTTCAACGCTTTCATATAATCCCGCATTTTTAATTTTTTGACTATGTTACTATGTATAATAATAATATCATTTTTATTGTATTTTGAACAGCATTTATAATTATATCTTATTAAATATACTAGAATTAGTCGTTAATTGGATAAATTTTTTTGTTAACTTACCCGCAGAATATTATTTCTTATTGATCAATATGGCTTTTTGTTAATTATTGGGGCATTTCGTTTCATGCATAATGTATTATTTTTCTGTGTTGTTCGTCAAAATGTAAATAAGATAAATAATGGATAATTTGAGCGTATCATGCACCCATATAATCTATGAGGTACTTACAAAGTAATATGTAGGCAATACAGAGAAATTCAAATTAATGTTATTGTTATAACTTTCAAATTTCTATACATTTTTCTCAAAATTATATTGATAACGGAAAGAGGAAACGTTTTTTCAGTCATGATACATACTATTTTGTTTCAATTCATTACAGGAAACAACACGACGACATAAAACAATACAATCTATTTGACCGATTTGTGTCGACTGACACAATAATTGCATTAGTAGAGTGCGCTGAAATTAAAATAATTAATTGTAATCATAAATATTTAATTAATTATCAGTAGATATATACATAGTCTCATTAATAGTTTTAAGAATCTCATTAATAGTTTTAAAATCAAACTGAAAAATATTAAACAAATTTTTATAATGTAATAAATAATATAATACTTATAATATAGATCTAGTTGTAAAATTTTGAATTTTGTCATAACAACAAAATTCTTTCTGATTTATGAGGAGATTTTGATTTAAATAAAATGTATTTAATTATATACGCGCGAGCGTCTTGTTCATATCAAACCATAATTAAACAAAATTTTTCATGCATTACTGCGAGAATAGAAGGTCTGTTACATACTTCCGTTCTAAGAAATATTGTAACGGACAAAATTGTAGAATACATCTGAAAGAAAGTACACTATCATTATACTTAATGAAAATAGGTTTGTTAATCCTTTCGCTCAGAAAACGGTTCACCGGAGTATCACCATTGATCGGGACTCCACACCAAAAGTATATACATAAATAGTCTTGGACATTTAAAATTACGTTTTACGCCTGAGCAACGCCACTTTGACACGTTTTTTTAAAAAAAAGAACTATTCGCAAATCAAAATGATTATAATTTCTTCATAAACCATTTCTTAATTACCTCCTTTATGCC